CCAGAAATACCTTCATTAGCCTCTGACCCTGAGACGAGCTAGTGGAGGTTTCTGCTCTTCAGGGATGATTCAGAAGCACAGACTTGGCCCCTCTGAGCCAGGCCGAGGGAAGATTGCGACTGCCAGCTCTGCTTGGCAAATGAGCCCTTGGGCCCATTTCCTCCACAATCACATCAGGCTCTGGCTGCTCTGTGTCTAACCAGCCAGGAACCAAAGCACAATGATTGTTTCCCAGTAGGGCATTTTAGATAGGGCCACATGCACATCTGGGAAAGGTGAAGATGAAAGTAGGAGGAGGCAGGAAAAAAAAAAGAGTCCCAGACTTCTGGAGGTTTGGTTTGATAGCCCTCAGGTGCAAAGAGTTGAATTAATCATAAACTTGGATTCATGACACACTCAAACCTTCATGCAGAGACCACTTCCATTGTGGTCTTCCCTTTTCCACACAGAAAGGTAGAATATTGACACTACCTCACGTCAGCCACATGGTTTCCCAGCCAGTTCCTCACCCTGCCCCACCCTGACTTCACCCGACTTCACACTGCATCAGTGTCCATTGCTACCCTGCTTAGCTTACCCTACCTTTTATTGCAGCTACACATAAGAAAAGACTTTAAATTTGAAAACTTAAAGGATACGTCTACCTTGGGGCAACAAGTTTTTGCACATCTATGTATCATTTTGTCATAATACTCATTTTCCATGAAATCTCTAGAGACTCTTTATACTCCCTAAAAAGCTCCTCTTGTTATTATTATCCGTGGGTGTATAAAGATGTCACGCTCTATACTTTGGTAGATTTCTTTTACTGAATTTCACATTACCAAGATTCCTCTGGATTTTTGTGTAGCACTGTGGTTCTCTCATCTGTGATGAAATGGAGTGTAGATTTGTGACCGAAACCCAGGCTCTCCCACATGGGATGCAGGTGTCCTGAGTGGTACTTTAACCATTCTGCAAAACACCCACCCCCTTTTTGACTGCCTCTTCACTCACTGATCCCAAGACTCTTGTCTCCTCATCCTATCCTTCTTAGTTTTGTTTCTTGACTGAACACGTGAATGACATAAGGAAATAAGTGCCCCCAAACGGAAAAGAGTGTTTGGAAACACAGAGACACCAAGAAGAGCATCAGAGCAGACACAGGGCTCAACGGGTTCCAGACCCTGGGGCACACTATTCACACAGAAGGAAACACCACAGACACCACTTCACTTCTGGAAAATCTAAGATGCATAATGAGACCCAAGCAGAGCTAAGGCCCATCTCCCCATCCAATCTACCTCTCCTCTCCCAAACTTCCTGCCACCTCCACAGAAGCCCACCTTTAATCAAGGAATAAAACATGGATCAGCCTACTTGTAGGTAACTGGCTTCAAGTTTAAAGGGGGCAGGTGTCTAGGTCAGACATCCAAGGACACCAAGATGACAGCACCCTGGTGGACTTTCTACTTATTCCATTTTCAAGGGGCCTGCAGGATTGCTCCTTTAATAGGAAGTGCTGGAGGGGCAGCCAACTACTAAGAAGATGAAGACATCAGCCTGATGTCAAGATGCTCACTACAGACAGCTGGGTTGAAGTCAGGGCATGAAGTGATCAGAGCCAGAAGTGGTTCAAAGGTAAGAGTGAACCAAAAGCTGAAACAGGGCAGAAAGTTCTTAGAGACTGATGTTGAAGCTGGGTTTTTGAAAGATAAATCAAGTCCTGGAGAGGCAAGCCAACTATGAATATGCTTTAAAAAGGGGGTTGGGGGATGGTGTCTGACTCAGACCTCTTAACCATTCCATCTTCTTTCATTTCCCAAACTTCTCAGATGTCTCTCCTACTTCCAACTACACTAAGGCACCAAGAAAGTGGAGCCTGTGGATCACCATTAAACATACACTATCTGTATTTCTTCTTCCCTTGCCCAAACACTAACAGAGTGGATCACCACTGGGTGCCAGGGCCTGTGAGTACAGGGAAGGATAACACAGGCATTGATTTCCTGCCTTCACCAGACTCTCTGACTTCAGGGCCAATCCAAAACTGAACAAAGCCAGGAGGTTGATTTGGCCAAGCCAGATTTCACCAGCCTGAAAGACAGTCCCTACCCCTTTACCACTTCCCACGTCGCAAAAGATCTTTTTTACAAATTGTACACAGCTAAAGAAATGGCTGCCTTCTCAGTCATTAAAAGAATTCTGCCCAGTGTCCCAGGTAAGCCAAGTGGCTGTGCAGAGCCAAAAGACCCCAAAATCAGGTGCTTCCTATATAATAGCCTCCAATCTGATACTTGATAGCTGGCTTCCAGAGTCAAACAAATGTCAGGAATTTTATGAAGGAAGGCAGGAAGCAAAGAAGGAGGGCAAGGATTGAAGTCTAGGTCCCCAGGGAGCTCAATTAGTGAGGCAGATAAAGTTAAACTGAAAGGGCATGCTCTCAGTTTCCTAGAAAGCCAGCTGGAAAAGATGCCAATCCTTAAGCCTCCGTCACTCAAAAGATTAACAGAAGAGACCTGGGGTACCCAAAGGGAACTCTGCCAGAAGCCAGATGTTTCTGTTCTCCCTATGACGCCACTGCTCTCAATCCGGGGCCACCAAGAAGCCGTGGAAGAGAGCTGGAGCCTATCGGGACAGGTTGAAATTCAAAGGTCACCCTTTAGCCACGTAGATTTGAAAAACTGATTGTCCCTAACATTTTCTCTGCAGACACCCCTGATGCACCTGGTTTTGGCATTTTCTCATTCAGCCATCTCTCCCTTCGACAGGAACGACAGCCCATATTGGAAGAACATCAGCAGCTGCCTGGAGGTGTAGAAAGCATACAATCTTCAAATTCATGCCAGCTGGGGCCTGGCTCAGTGGGCGATTTGAGCAGCTCACTTCCTCATCTGCAACACAGCATTAGACTGACCCCCCACCACCCCTAACCCCACTTTGGACATGAGAGATCACAGCCAAGACCCAGGCCAAATGTTCAACCTTGGCAGCACCTGGTGTTGCGCAGAAATGCAGCCAGGTAGCCACAGGCTCAAGCCAGGAACTTGCCCTTAGTTTTTGATAGGAAAGAGAAAAGAAAAAAAGAAGAAGAAGAAGAAGGTGGTGTGTATGAGAGTGAGCGATCGCACAGAAAGAGATACGGTTCATACATAAATTGCGGTGTATGTTCTGTCACTTCCATCAAATCCACAAACTGAAGAAGCTAAAAGGAAACCTAACCCATGCCTGCGCTTTCCCCTCAAGCCCCAAGCTTCTCTTCCGGAGTTGCTTCCTCTGATTTCAGCAGCAGCGAAGAAGAGCCATCTGGCCTAAGACAGGAGCGAGACAAGCCTGGCAGCCAAGGAGCCCCTGCCATTTGTCTCAGCATGGCTCTCCTTTCGGCCCTCCTGTGGGCGGGCATCCAGCTTTCAGCTGGGGTGCTCTGGTCTGCATCTCTGTCTTGGCTGTTCCTCATTATTGGAGGGAACACCGTGGCTTGCCTGACCTCAGACTTTAAGAGCTTCAAGTCCTAATATCAAACCAAGCAGCTTCGTTTAAAAGGCATCCTCATCTGCATCCATAAAAGTCACTCCCAGAGCATTCCTTTTGAGGAACGCCTGCTGTCGAGGATTTACGACACACCCTGGATCTAATCTGCCGCACTTTAACTGTTGCTGTTGCACATCTGGTCATAAAAGCAAGGGCAGCCCAACACGGGGACAAACACTTTTCTTTCCTAAGTGGCTGCAAATCTGATCTCACAGTGATAGCAGGGTTGGGGCTCAATCAGCCCAGCATCTGGGCAGTCATTAAGGTTCCGCCCACAGCCATAAAGATGACTCCGTGCCAAAAAAAGCTCTGAATAAAGAACCTGCAGAATGGACAGGTGGTAACGGGACTTGGATGAAAGATTTACAAGCCAGAAAGCATGAAGCCGGCAGAGAAGCCTCCCCGCTGCCTTATTCACAAAGATATTGGCTACTTCACCTGGAGACTCACTCTGCCAGCAGAACAGCAAGCAAGCCGTTGACTGCTTGCACTGATGCCGTTTAAGATTAAGGCTTTCCAAACGCACCAATAGGTAGATTAACAGTCCATTTTTAAGGCAGCGAAATTATTTATTACAACGACTCAGGATTGAGTGGGTGGGGGAGATGATCCAGATCAGAAATGAGCACAATGTTGTCGGTTCCAGCAGATTTTACAATGCCCCGGACAGCCTGTCCTGTGCACAGAATTGGCACGGCTCATGATGTTCAGAAACTCCAACCAGACCAAGGTTCAACAAGTAATCCAACCTCCCAGAGCCGAGCCTGGGGAAAGAGACCCTTGAAGAGCATGTAGCCCTTCACCACCTCCCCCCACCCAACAAGTGCGTGTGTGTGTGTGTGTGTGTGTGTGTGTGTGTGTGTACGCGCGCGCACATTTCTCCACCTCTGCCCCTCCTCCAGAGCGGTGCGTGCCCAGCAGGAGGGAGCATTAAAATTATCTGCTGTGGGTTTTACAAGCAGCGATCGCTTTTTAAAACAACAACCACACAAGGTCCTTGTGTGGCTAGCGGGTAACCTAAAACTCTCCAGGCAGAGCTGCCCACCCCCCCCCACCCCACCCCGCCCCATCAGCAGTCGCCGCTGCTTGCCAAGAACGCCAGCGCGCAGGGTCGGGCGCAGCGGGAGAACCCAGGCGAACCGTCCCGGTGCGGAGGGCGGCGAGCTTCTTCCGCGAGCTGGAGGCGCCTCCGAGGGTCTCAGAGCAATATGCCATGGGAGCAGACACTGGGAAACAGAACCCCACGGGTGACAGTCCCGAGCTAGGTTGGGGGGCAGACAATGGGAGAACGTTCTATTTGAGCAACTTTATGAAGTTTACGGCGGGGAGCCGGGAGGAGGGGGCAAGAGAAAGGGGTGGGAGATGAGATCTGACAAGCTCCTGCTCCCACCCCGTGTTCCTTCAAACGACAAAAGGCAATGCGACCTGGTGCCCCCCCTTGGGCAGGTGGGCGCGCGGCCCGAGGGCGGAGGTTGGGGGGGCGCACTTACCCTGGGGCCGGTGGTGCGGTGACCGCAGGCCGGGGACAGCTGCACCAAAAAGAGCAGCAAGTGGGGCGTGAGCAGGCGGACGCAGCGCGCGGGCAGCATGGTGCCAGCTGGGCCGAGCCGGGCAGCCGGCAGCGGGCAGGGGTCGCGGGCTCGGTGGAGCGCACACCGCGCCTGCCTTCCTGCCTGGGTGTGAGCAGGGGACCCTGGCGGTGGCGGCGGCGGCGGGAAGCAGGCAGAGATTCTGCGACGAGCGCTCGCTGGGGCTGCGGCCGAAGGACTAGGGGATGAACCGCGGGGGAGACCAGAGGGGTCGGGTACCGCGCGAGCGTGTGCTCGGTGCGCGGGTCTTGCTCCGCTCGGCCGGGCCGCGGCTGCAGCAGGTTGGATGCCGGAGCCCGGGCCATGGGAATTCCCGTTATAAACCCCCAGGAGGAGCGGGGCGGAGCCCGGCTGGCCTGATGGACGGGCCGAGAGGCCTGTAGCAGCTGAGCCTGTGGCAGGTGAAAGCCAATGGGAGAGAGGTTAGCGTGCTGGCTCGTAGTCACCCACCCAGCACCACCACCAAGTCGCGACACCGATCGCTCCGCCCTAGAGGACTCCAGGAGAGACCAGGATAGAGTAACTTTCTCTTGGCCTTTCTGTATAAGATGTTTGTATGAGGATGGCTTCGACCCACTAGAAGTCCCACCTGGCTAGAAATAAATGCCTCAAGCATTTACAGCTTCTAGCTCAAGTTCAGAGGTTGTTAGAGCAGCCCCGTGAGGGAACAGAAAACTGCTCCTAGCCGCGTCCTAAAGATGAGAAAGCACACAGACGCTGAGAAACCCACTTCCCGCCGCATCAGCATCGCCAGGGAACCCATACTGGGTGGGGAGTGCAGAGGGAGCAGTATTGACTCCTTTCCAAGGAGCTCCCTGCGAGGATGACACCCTGAGCCTTGCAAAAGCTGCCCAGGAAGGAGCCTCCTGCAACCAAGGTGGAGTCTGTGCACTGCGCCTCCACCTCCTGTGTTCCGGGACAGGCACGGAGGTCCTAGTCCTGTCCCCTGCCTTCGCACCAAGGGTCAAGGGCACCCCTCTGGCAGAGGCTGTCAGAGTGGCCCCAGGTCCTCTCTGTGTGGACAAAAAGCATTTGATGGGGACAAGGGATGGTCTGTGGGTGCAGAGAGCCTTTAAAGGCTCATGGGAGGGGCCGGAGATCGCCCCCCTCCTGCGTCACAGCAGCAGCTCAGCAAGGCTCCAGACCCAGTGTTGGAGGGTTCTGTCCAGGATGGGTCGGTCCCAGATGCTCTCAGAGAGCCCACAGAACTAAAGGAGTCTATTCTCCACCTGGAATGTAAGAACCCACAGTTCACTCCTTCCTCTCTGGCAGCGGAGGCCCATCCAAGAGTTAGCTCTGCTCTGGTCCTGCTTCTCTCCCCGATTAATTCAGCAAGTTCCTCTTCCACTTCTGCAGCTTTGCCCACTCCGGAGGTTGTTCCCAGCTTGCAAACAGCAAGCAGCCCAAATGCACCACGCTCTGCTAAAAGGCTTCGCCTGTCCCCAGTGCTATCAGACTGGGAGCTGGGACAGTGTCAGAGTTCTTGTGGTTCTGATCAGATAACTGTCTTTTCTCCCTCCTGGGAATTAGCGCAGTTGGTCAGCCTTCTGCTGGAGCAAAGCAGCCAGGTTCAAATCCTGGGTCTGCCACCTAGTGGCATAACCTTGAACAAGTCTCTTCATTCTGGTCCAGTTTCCTTTTCCATAAAATGAGGATGGCAAGGGCATCCACAGTTGAGAGGTTGCTAGGATTAAGGAGATGGGAAATACCTGAGTGTAGAAGAACTGGATACTCCCGGCCTACACTGCCCCCTCCCACTGCGGGTCCCAGCTCACCTTGTGTGAGCACCCTGGCACCCTGTCTAAGCCAAGAGTCCAGGCCAGGGTTTGGGGGGATCTAATTCTGCCTGTGTCATATGACGACTTCCAGCTCCAGGCTCAGATGCCATAGGATCAGATGCATGCCATGCACTGGACAGGCATTTCTTCAGGGGTCTGCAAGGGTACCTGAGACATGCAAGTTTTGCTAAGCTTTAGACAAAGGGAGTCTTCACAGCCCAGACCAACAAACAGTCCTTGTGGCTGGCATCCTAGGACTCTGCCCAAAAGAAGTTGGAGCACTGGTAACAGCCTGCACCTCATGCAGCACTTCCATCAATTTCCATGTCCCCCCCCCCAACACACACACACCACCACCATCACCCCCAGAGGCTCAGCTGCCGACATGTTTTTCCTGACGCTGCCACCTGACCACAGGCACCCATCAAGCAGGCCGGCTGCTTTCTGTTGCTGGAGTGGTTGAGAAATCTGTTGGCATCCGTACATGTGTTTGAGGTGCCCCCACCCCAGTATCTGGCAGCACAAAGCATTCAGGGGAAAAGCACTGCAGTAGACCTGCCCAGTCTCAAGCCCACAAGCTGCTTTGCAGCCAGAAAGCTTATTTCCAAGCAGTCAATAGTCCAAAAGTCCCCATTATCCTGGATTTCAACCATGGAGCTTAGAAGAAAATATGAGCAATTGCCTTCCAGTTACTTTGCTCAGCAAGTATTTTCCTTCCCTCTTGTTGGCATGCAGGGCCTGTCGTAACCATGGCCATCACTCAAATGATGCATTTGCTTCTCCCAACTCCTCCCACTCCAAAAGGAGGTTAGAAATTCCAGAGGACCGTGAGTCCCCAACAGCATCTCTCTGCCAGACTCAATCTCCCGATCCAAGCACAAAGTGAAGTTGACAAGTTCCTTCTTTCTGTGGAGGCCAGGCTTATGGTCCAAAACTAAACCCAGCTATCTTGGCATCTATTCTTCCCAGTGACTGCCTTGTCCTGTGGCATTTCTATTTGCAAAGAGATATTTGCATAAAAAATAGTACTTCTATCACATATTGAGGTCCGAGGCCTCAAATATTTAGTAGCAGCTAGGAATGCCAGTTTCAAATATATTTGTGTTCCTGCATATCCCAAGAGTCTTGCCCCATCTCATATTCAGAACAGCAGCTTCTATTCATTTATAAAATCTTAAAATTTGTTTTGATTTTATTTGAAAGCATAGAAACAAACGAACTCTTCTATCTGCTAGGTCACTCCTCAACAGCCACAGCTGGGTGAGACTGAAGAGCCAGAATTCAAGAGCCCAGAATTCCACCAAAGGTCTCCTACATGGGTGCAAGAACCCAGGAATGCCAGCCATCATCTATGTTCACTCAGGCTGTACATTAGCAAGAAGCTGAATTGGAAGCAGAGTGGCCACAATTCAAACCTGGCAGCCTGATGAAGGAAGCAGAAATTTCAGGTGATGACTTAACCACTGCATCTAACAAGAGCTCCACTTCCTGTTCACTTTCAGAAGCATTTTGCTGTATCTCTTCTGGGTCATTGTTATCAGGAATCTTGGGAGGCACGCTCTGTCCTCTAAGAGAAATGTAATCTTAGATGCAGACCAGGGCCCAGTACAGTGGCCTAGCGGCTAAAGTTCTCGCCGGGATCCCATATGGGCACCAGGTCTAATCCTGGCAGCCCTGCTTCCAATCCAGCCCTCTGCTTGTGGCCTGGGAAAACAGCCGAAGACAGCCCAAAGCCTTGGGACCCTACACCACGTGGAAGACCCAGAAGATGCTCCTGGCTTCGGATCGGCACAGCTCTGGTTGTTGCAGTCACTTGGGGAGTGAATCATCGCACAGAAGATCTTCCTCTCTGTCTCCTCTCATATATATATGCAATAAAAATAAATAAATCTTTTTAAAAAGATGCAGACCAGACACCTGAAGCCCACATCCAACAGCTAAGACTGTATTGTGTTTTGGGAACTCAGCTAGTGAAACGGGCTTGAAAAGCTTCCTGAAAGAGGTAAACCCTGAATGAGAATGTGAAGCAAAGAGTTCCTAGAACACATACTGATTCCTGCTGACTTCACTAATGACAGTAGCCACCAACAGAGAGAGAAGAGTTGTGTCCAGAGTCCAGGATTCTTGTCATATTACTATGGAGTTCAGATGCTTGGGACATCGAGAATCCTGTGTGCTAAGTGGCAGGCATTTCTTCTGTTTCTGGGTATATGACTAATTGGCTCTATAATCTCAGCATTAAACTTCATAGTCCTGTTCCATACAGAAGTTAATGTTATCCAGGACACTCCTTCCATTCTAAACACACATGACAGAGCTAGTTAAAGTAACAGATGATTTATAAGCTCATTCTGCCTTGTGTACACAAACTTTACTCAAAGTCTAGGGCAACTCCCTCTCCTCCAGGCTCCTGTGATTATTTCTCCCTCCGTAGACAGCTCTGCCTGGTAGTTCAAGACAGTCATTACATCTGTTTTCCAGATAGAAGGAAAGGAAAGGAAAAGGGATCGAGGAGACCATGCTCTTTGTTCCAATGACACTTTCCAGAAATAAAATTATTACTTTGTTTCATTGACCAAAACTTAGTCATTTGGCCATATCTAGCTGCAAAGAAGGACTTAAAGCATGAAATCTTAACTGGAGGTGACCACCAATAAAGAATACGTCACCAATAAAGAATAAAAAATTGGTGACACAACTAACAACAGAAACTCCCGACATCAAGGTCCTTACACTAAATGCCTTGACTTATTGGTTGGAAGGAATTCAGTTTGATTGAAAGTCCACTTGTGACTTCCCTCGAGTTGGGCAGGTTCAGCTTCCTTGTCCTCAAAAATATGAATGGTTATTACAGGCTGACTAAGTCTCCTCCAACATTCACCTGTAGAAACTCTGCCCCACCCCCTGCAATAACACTGGGAGGTGATGGAGAGTGGATGAGGTCTTGAGGGCGGGGCCCTCGTGAACAGAATTACCACGCTCTGCAGAGTCAGAAGGGTGTTTGCTCCACTCTCTGCTCTCCACCTTGGCAGGATACAGCGAAATACTCTCCTCATCAGAGCCCAACCATGCTGACATCCTGAGCTCAGATTTCCTTAACCCCAGAACTAGAACAAATAAGTTCTCTTGTCTCTGAGCCACCAGGTCCTTGTTACAGCAATATGACTGGGCAAAGACAATGGCCTCAGGGACACCCAGACTCTTACACTGTCTCTCTCTCTTTCTCTCTCTCTCTCTCTCTCTTTTAGATGCTTTCCGGTAGGAGGAACTGAGATCACGCTGGGCAGCAGCCTTGTGGTACCAGCGAAGCAAGAAACAAGCCCCACTATTAGAAACTAATAACTATACATCCTTGTGAAAATATTCTTGGCAATTGTCTGAGTTCCCCTGCTTCTTTTTTTTCTCCATCTCTCTCCCACCTGCACACAGCAATCCCTCTTCTCATCAGCTTACTTTTCTGTGACTCCTTTTCAAAATGAACCACAGTAGTAGTTACAAGGAGTTAGCAAAAGC